AGCCATTAAGGGGAAGACAGAAGTGTTGCATACAGTGGCAAACTAATGACTTCTTAGGCTCTTGAATATGAGGCTAACACTTTTTGGAATATATGTTGGATCAAAATTTTTTGATTAAAGGAAAATTGTGGTATTTGTGGGTGTTAGGGAATTACGTTTATGTGCGGAAGGACACAAGCCTCCTACTAAAAAAATTTACAAAAAACATCTCAAACACTTGTAATTGAGTCTAACAAAACATAAAGACAGAAAATAGTAACCTGGAAATCCATATAGCTGTCGTAGAAGACCACATAGCAGCTGTAGAGCAATTAGCCACAACTGGATTTATAAAACAGAAGCAGTCAATAAAATATGCATTGTGTGTACCATATAATTTTGTGTGCAATTTGAAAAGTCCACACAAAACACTGTCTTGCTTTCGCTACTACTTCTCTAGCATGCACACACAAGCTTAAGTGAGTCATAGCCTCACAGTAGCATAAACAAAGCCATCAGGTAAATCAGAAGGCAAACAGACAAGGAAGTGGATGTGATATGCATTTCGCTGCAGGAGCGCTAGGCGACTACCGTGTTTACTTTCAGTCTGACTCGAAGAAACATTTTTTAGATATTTTTTTTTAGATTGCTGTTAAATTCTAAGGAATAGTTTTTGGGGTAAGAGTTAAATGAGACGATACCACTTTTGTGTCTGTAAGATAAACACAAGCCAACTGGTGATTAGCTTAGCTTAGCAAAGGGTAAAAAGGCTAGCCTGGCTCTGTCCAAAGTGAAAGAAACAAAAACAAAAAACTATCAGCACCTCTAACGCTCACCAATTAACATGTTACATCCTGTTAAACTGTATAAAAACTGAAATGTAAAAATGACAAACTGTGGTTTCATTGTGGGGAAATATGTGCTAGAACTATTTCACATCAGGTTGCAGTGAGTTGCCAGGCAACCAGCTGAGAGTCCACACAGTCACCGCTTAGCTATTTACACCTATTTCCAGTCTTTATGCTAACGTAATGGTAGCCTGCTGGCTCTCGCTTCATATTTATCTCACAGACATGACAGGGGTATCAATCTAACTCTCAGCAAGAAGGCACATAACATATTTATGTATTATAGTATTATTGTAGTATTTTCCAAAATTGTTAACTGTTCCTTTAAGTTTTTCTGGAAAACTGTAACAGGTTCACACTCCTTGCCTCATTCAGTGCTATGTAGTTGTGTGAAATGTTATCATCACCAATAGCCATAATGGACAAAAATCTGAAAATGAGACCCAGATTGGCAAACACTGGAATTTTCCTTTAAAGTAAATTTTTTATCAGGACTCTTTATAATTTGAAACATTCATTCTGTAGGCATGACTTTGATTAGACTGTGTGGGTACTTTATAGTTGTTCTCATGCATTTACTAACAGGAATCAGTGCAGAAACAAAGCCTTAACCATTCAAGAACCACATCCTTTATGATTTTAAGCCTCTGGAATTTCCTAAATTCTGTTTACACATCAAAATGAATCTGAAACAATAATCAAGATGATGACTGGTGGTCACATCATGGGTAAATCACCTCTTTAACTGACCGTACATTTCAGAGTCCTTTTTAGAAACTTTTAATAGTCAATAAAAAAGGATTAAACAGATTAAAATGTAGTTCTATGCAGAATCATAACAGCTGACTCAGATGCCGTCTGGGAGCCTGATTTGAGAGCATTACAACCAACCAGGCTGTCTCCCCTGAGAATGAATGGCTCATTTTTATGTCATGTTATTCAAGCGTAGAAATAACAGGCAATTGAGGAATCCCATGGGACAAAGAAACCTACTTCACTCAAATGAATTAAAATAAATCGCAGTGTCAGTGCCTGTAATAATGACAATCCACAAAGCTTTTCAACTGGCATGAGATTTATTTAACATCAGTGTTGATGCAGGGGCTGGGGCTAAACAGACCTGGCTCATAGAAAACCAACCCCCAGAGAAAGAGGGGGGATCGTGCATAGAACCCCCATTTTCAAAAACCGAGAGACAGAGATAACCACAGTCCTTCGGGATCTGTGCAGGACAGACAAGATCTATCCCCCAAAATATCCTTTCATTCCCTGAGAGAAGGATGGGGAGGAGGGGGGAGGGCAGCAGTGGAGAAACAAGTGATAAGCACCGCTGCGGGAGAACAAAAAGCCACTTGATTCTGAGGGGCGAAAAGAGAAGGAGGAGGAGAGGAGATGTGGGACCAGAAGGGATAAGTGAACGGCCCACGCTGCGAGGATGAGGAGCCTGCCTCTGCTGCTCTGCAGAGATAGAGCCGACCTGTCTGCTAAGCGCAGACGCAAACCCTCTTGTGACTCTTTAAAGAGGGATATGAGGACCAAGTCTTCTGGTTTTTGACATGTCTCCAGACTGTCTACATAGGAAGTGTGGTTTTTACCTTCGAGCAACTCTGGTTGCCATAGCAAAACTGCAGTATCATAATTCATCTTAGCCCCCTTATGCTCCCTTATCATACATCCGGTGACAACAGGCCTGACAAACAAGTAGAAAAACAAAAACAACTGGTATTTTCACAGCATAGTCCAGATTCACAGAGGATGTGCGGTGATTGCAGATTCAAACAGCAGCCTGCCTTGCAGGAGAAACTATAAGTGGAAGCACAGTAATTATGTTACCCACCCCAAACTCCAACCTGACACATTTTTCACAATCCTCTTTTGCAGGATCACGGCCCCAGCAGAGCACATTATGAGCAGCACTTTGTTGATTAAGATTGTGTAACCCTGTTGTTTGGTTTCTGCCTGAATTCTATAGGAATATGAGTCATTCAGTGGGGCCTTGGGCACCATAGTGAGCCTCATTGTCCTCCCTCCTAAGCAGGCTTGTTACACGAATGAGAAAGGACACACACACCATATTGAGAGCAAATGACTATTCTACGTCGAAGGCCTCTTGGAGAACTCACTGCCCTCTTGGAAAAAGGAAGTGCAACATCCAGTCCTCAAACGTTGCTGACAAAAGCTCTGCGAGACAGGCCGACATGCAGTGAGAGAACTGGCCCACCACTAACAGGTCTTGACAGAGGCATGGAGGCATGACAGGCCATCAGAAATCATGCACATAAACACCAGGCGGGGGGCAGAAGGAGGAGGAGGATGTGATGACATATTGGGTATCACTAAATCTCAAGAACAGACAAATGTATTTGACCTGCAGGCCACAGAGGTAACACAGGGGTCAACATCTCAGCTCTGCTAGTGTCTATAACTATAACACAAGACTAAATAGTATTTGACTGTTTTTGTCCAAAGAACCTGACAGATTGGGCTCACTGAAAAAAGGTTTACACAGTATTTGAAAGTCATTTCCACCTTACATAATCAGATTTTTTCAGGTGAACAAAACCCTGCCGACACAATGAAAGTGAAAACAAAAGCTTTGAGCTTTGAGAAAAGTCAAGATGGCAAAACAACCCTCTAGCGAGAAAAAATGTCTTTGCTATTACGAAAACATTTCAAAAGTTCATGTGAAACGTCAAAGTGTCCTCTGTCTTCCTTATTCAACTAGAACTGAATGAAAACTTCAGATTCTACAGGTGATATTTGCGATGTGCGATCTGGGTCACACTCTTAATAAAAGCTACTGTATTTGCACAGTGTATGTAGGGTTACATGCATCCTGCGTGCATGCATGTGTGTGTGTTTCTGCAATGTAAGCACATGCTGTCCTCCATCTGCTGTTTGATAGAGACTGTTTCCTTTCCTGTGCAGCCAGCCAACCAGCCAGCCTTCCTGTACCGCTCCGCTCCAAAGGGGAAATGGGAGCAAGTCTGCCACACACTCCTGACAAAAACCCTGGATAAGATACATACACATGCAGACACAGCTGGACAGACAATGACTTAGCCACACATTTTAACACAAACACACTCACAGTCTCCTCTCCTTTCTCTTTCCTTCCTTCTCAGACTTTGTTTTTCATCTACTGTAAGTTCCCTTTGTCCTTATTTTTTCATGGTCAAACACCTCCACAAATCATTAAACAGCTTGCAGGGACTTAAATATTTAAATAAAAAAAAAAACAATGAAGGGGATTGTTAAAGACAGGAAAGTCAAAAGCATGGGTGTTGAGGGGCTTTCTCTATTTTCTCTATCGCTAATCAGGACATCAAATCAGTGAAATTCCTATAAGCCACCGAGCATGGGCTGTAATAACAGGAAAATGAATCTCTCGTTAAATATACAGACCATGTGTGTGTATGTAAATTGACAAAAGCAGACCATCTATCTAGAACAGCCCCAGTGACCTCAGTTGATGGTATACAGACTATAAATTGAAAAAGAATCATGTCGAGTAAAAAAACTAAACAAAGAAGTCTTCATTGCTTTATGTCACTTCCATATTCCATACTTTCCTATCAAGCCTAATACAGTGATACCTGTAATTCTTAAGTCTTAATTATGCTGGCAACTTTACAATATGCTTTTGGGAGCAAAAACCCTTGGAAAACTCTACTTCTAAAATGTCAACAATAACAAAGGCACTTAAGTTGAGGCTCAAAGTCTCAATTCAAATAATATTAAGAGCTTTTTTTCGTATGCCTGCAAGAGCAAGACAATATATTTAACAAACTAATTCAAAAAAACGTCTTCATCAGGTTCCAAATATCAGCATGAAGTACAAAGCCAAAAGCAACTCTATTTCACAGACTCCTAATCAGATATACTTCACACACTATAAACACAAACCATACCACTTTATATGTTCTCACTACTGTTCCACTTCCTGTTTCGGATCCTTTTTACCAGCTGACACAAACAACAAGCTGTAGGCATGAATCTTCAGATTGAGGAAGTGACTGAACACAAAGATGCCAGGAACTTGTTGTAAAATGTTAACTATTAGTATACAACGAAAATAAACAGCCCTGTTCAAATCACCCTAAAGACTTACCGCAGCTGCTAATCATAAAATACATTGATGCTATGTATGCAGGCCACAGTGTGCTAAGTTACCTGGATGAGTGTTGATTCAATGTATGCTGATTCTCAGATCCATAATAGCAGGTCACATGGTTCTGACATAGTCCAGCAGTCACATTGTTGCTGTCATCTTCAGCGAGAAATTGGACAGAATCTGGAGGTGGGGGAGTGAAGTCTGGTCTCACAGCCCAGCGAGGAGAGACGATTCGTGGATCCAGGCGGCTGTCTCAGCTCTTCACTTTCAGGGGCTCACCAAGCAGCAGCCAGCCGGAGTTTTTGTAGGGCAGAGCTGCAAGCCTTAAAGGGATGCTGCTCACCACCTTTATTGGAACAGAGAGCAAGAAGAACATGTTAGAGAGTTAACAACACAGCAGATACACACGAGGAGCAGAAGCTGGAAGATGGGGAAGGTGTGATGCAGTTCCTGTCTTAAGCAGAAACGGTGTGTAGCAAGAAGAGAGTGCAGTTGAGAGTAGGGGCAAGCTTCCCCAAAGGAGGAGGCTGTGAAGTAATAAGCAGACTCTACAGCATTATAAAAACAGCATATACAACCTCTATAGTTTACCCTTCACGCTTAATGATGACATTTAGCATTGAGGGAAATTCAGAAGAAAGTATGCATTTTCTCATCAAAAAAAAGGAACAGTGAAGATGGCACAAAGTCTAAGAAGGTGCCCAAGGGTGATATGCAGACGGTCACAAAATGTAACCATGGTGAAGAAAAGACGTATAAATTAGTCAGGAGGGTTAAATTAGTTCATTTTTTGGAGGGGTAACATTTTACAAAGCACCTATAATTAAAATTAAATCCAGCAGCCATCTCTTAGTGCAAATCTCTTAGTATCAGCCTTGTTTAAAAACCAAAAAAATTAGGTTCCCCTGATTTCTAAATCTACTAATGGCAAAAATATGCATATCAGCCCAGATTTGGAGTTTTACATAAAGCCTCTTTCTGTCTGGTAACCAACATATTTATTTGATCCAAGACGTGTTGGATATATATATATATATATATATATACTATTTCAGTCTATTTGTGTGAGAAAATACTGGTACATACTGTGAATAAGCTGTAGTAGAAATTGCAGGTTGGTGCCATCTAATATATAATCCCTGCTATTGCCCACGGGAGGCCTGAAAGGAGGCTATGGGGGAGGGTGTGAGAAAAAAGGGGACGAGGAGCACAATTATCTACCTGCGAACGCTGAGCAGCCAAAAAGGAAATCTCGGAGGGGCATCATTTCCGTGTGGAAAACCTCACAAGGTACATTAGTTTACCTTCAACTGAAGGGATCTGGGTGAAAACCTAAACTGGCGATCATATTCTTTGGAAATCTAATTCAAAAGCTTTGCTACAAACTGCCAAAAAGCCCTGAGCTCACATCTTGCTTTTTCTCCGCTCTTGCAACTTTGGACATTTTGGAGATACAAGGTTTTCACCACCCAGCAGCGGCAGGGAGCATGCCGAGCGGTTGCTATGGCGACATTCTCGTCTAGCCGAGCAGAGGGGAGGTGTGGAGGGGGGTTCTATCTCTCTCTCTCTCCCTCTCTCCCTGTTTCTTTTTTTTCTAGGCTCTAACATTAAATGAATGGATCTCCTACAGCCCTCCCAATCTCCACCCCTCTCTCTTCTGGAGCTCAATGAAAACAGGCAGTCAACATTTGCTCTATGACATCCCGGAAAATGAGGTGTCATGCTTGAGGATTTCCATGGCAGCCAAATAATGGTTTGAGCAAAAGAATCTGTGCTCAGAAGGCAGGATAGAGTGGAAAAGAGACTTTATCAAAAAAAGATATGGTATGGTTAATATGGTAAATCCTGCATGATATGTATAGTCTTAAATTCCTGGAAAGCACTGTGAGGGAGCATTTTAAGTCACATATCATCTCAAAGTTTATAAATAAATAATACAAGGTCTGACAGGGTGGAATCAGATCAAGCAAACTATTGAATAATAGAAGAACCTCCCTGTAATGCAATCGGATGCAGAGCATCATGCTCGACAACATCAGAGGAAAACACAGAAACCCATGGAAGCTGCTGAATGCAGGATACGATTTCTGTGTGTAAAATCTAGTTATGTCCCTCCTGTGTATGGAAGAAGAAGCTGTAGTCCATCTCAAAAGGGCCACCATTTGTTCCCTCAACCAGCATCAACTAGGCAGCTGTAGTCCATCTCAAAAGGGCCACCATTTGTTCCCTCAACCAGCATCAACTAGGCAGCCATGGGTACTGGACACTTGAAAAAGGTAAGAAAGGACAGCTGAGATAGAGTAGGAGGTGAGAATAATCTGTGACCACTGGTTTTACCTGCCAACAGAGCTTCCCCAGATTGCGCCCTAAAGGTGAACTTACTTATACAAACAAAGACAGCCCACTTTAACATTCTTTCTCACATGCTTTCTTATCTTAATCAAAAACAACTAAGTTCCTTATCTTTTCTAAGCTACATTAATACAAAGATTATTGTGTTTGAGGGAAGCAAGAGCACTGACATTATGTGACCAAAGCAGCCCTTGGTGACTGTCTACAGTATCACTTCCTCACAGTCATACATCAGTGACCACAGTGCATGTGATAAACCTTACATAGATAGGGGTTACTCATAAAAGATTAATATTATATTTAGATTGTGAAATGACTGTATTTGACAAGCCGAAATGGCATCCTGATAAAAGGTGAAAGAAAAGGGTTTTTTTTTAAGATGCATTAAAAGACCTGGATTTCCTGGCATCTAGTTGTGAAGCTGAGGATTGCAACTAACTGAATACTGCAGACATCTGTATGTGACATCCTGGGAATAAGAACAGGCTGTGAAGTGTCTGGGAGTGGCTGAAAAAAATGTGAGGGACCCTATCTAGCCAGTGTTTGGTTTGTCTCTTCTGAGCTACTGTAGAAACATAGCAGTTCAATATACTCCATGGAAGGCAACCTGCAGTGTCTGTAGATAAGAACAACTAATTCTAAGGTAACAAAAACACAACAAATGCTATATCAGGTGATTATACACTAGAGAAAATATCCCTATGAATATTATATCCCATTTCTGCCGAATGATCTTTCTAAATGATACACACTGGACCTTTCAGTCCATGACAGCCACTATTATCTGTAGTCAGACCACTAGCTGTTTGTGGCTAATAAACATGGAGTGCAAAAACAGTCAGGCATTCAAATTAGCATGAGGTTAAAATTTGCGTCACATTCAAAATGAACAAACATGGAGAGTTTTCATAGCATAATAACACATACACACAGAAATGGCAAGTTATATCTGGCACTGTATCAGATCTCTTCTCTCTAGCAGGCCAGATGCTAGGTCTGTGTGTGTGTGTGTGTGTGTGTGTGTTTGTGTAGGTGTGCATGTGTGTGTGTGTGTGTGTGTGTGTGTGTGTGTGTGGAGCAACTTCAAAGAAGATATGTTGTATATATATAATAATATATATATAACCTCTCTGTGCTTCATCTGAGGGTGTAATAGATTGTCCAATATTGACTTCCACAGGTGTAAGATTTACAGCTTCAGACTCAAAAACACAGTTTCACCAAAACTCTCACATACCTGGCATTTCCCCCGACAAGAGCCTAAGCTCAGCTGAAAATACATTGAACCAAGGTGACAAATACCAGCTCAAAGACAGGTGGACAGCTCATTCACCTATATGTATACACACAGAGACACACACACTGACTCTTACACCACTCCAGGGTTGTGGTCAATCAGATTACATCATACTGAGATCTTAGAGTGCACCAACACAAATCCATTTATAGAGATAAGCTTTGAGGGTAAGAGAGAAAGAGATGTCACTTTGCCCATTGGGTAGCCATCTGAGTCACTATCGGGGCCTAGCGTCAGTCCTGCACAACACTGTGTTTACAGACGTCGTCTCTGACCTGCCACTGAGTGTCACTTCCAAAAATACAAAGATCATAAAGAGTTCAGGACCTCCTCAATGGGTCAGAAGATAAACCTCAGGGGTTGTGTGACAGGACAAGAAAGCATACAAAATATCCAACACAAAATGTGTTTTCTTTCAGACTGGTCAATCTTTGCCTAAAACATTTACAGTGTTGTCTGTCTTGAGGGGCATGCAGTTAAACTCTGCTGTTTTAAGGAGTAACAAGATAAAAAGGTTGGGAACCACCAATATAAAGAGATTCTTTCTTAGGTGGGAGAAACTATGAGACTATTTTCTAAATACTGCGTAATGGAAAATACTAAGATGTACAGTAATAAGGTGGTGTTGAATTTTTAATGATAAGGCTTTAATTAGAATAGAGCAGCAGCAGCAGCAGTCTAGCACCTGCTTTACCATGTCAGTGTTAGAGAGATATGTAAGTCAGAGAAGTGGTGAGGCTCTTTTGTGATTTATGGTGTTTACAGGCAAGCATGATAGGGGCAAAATCAGCCCCAAGATGAAAACTGCAGCAGCAGAAATTATAATAAATGGCGCTGCAAGAGAGAAAAGCATGCGTGTGGACTTCACGCCTCTATGATCGGATGTGAATAGAGCCATGTCCCTGATGAGCTGTCCGCACATTGTGAGTTTAATGTTCCAGAGCGGGAGGACAGACGGCAACAAGGAGCATGATTCTGTTAGCTGAGACTCCCTCGCCTGTCCGTCTCACTCCCCAAACACACCGGTTGGATCTTGGCATCCAGGTTTGCTGAACACCACTGCTAAGTGGCCCTTAGCCAAAACAAGCAGGATGTGAGTGTGATAATATCATATAGCAGCTCTTCTAAACTTGGCAATCGCTGTTATAATCAAATATCTGGAAATTTCCTAAAGGGCCAAGGCAGGACTAGATCACTTACAGACAGACTGTGTATGTGGCATACTATATCAATAGTGTTATTCATTTGGTGGGTAGCTAAATGAGAACCATGATTTAATACTTACCTGTGGCTCTCTCAGATCAATAACCAATAGAGTGATGGAATATGCCCCTGCAATGAAGAAAATTTCCAAACCGCATCAAGAATATAAGTGAGAAACAGCTGCTGAGGCCAGGTGCATTAGAGTCTCTTTTTCTTGTGTATTGTTATGGATATGCTCAATGTAATCTGACTTATATATGCATTTGAATGTCTATTTGTCTCAGGTGTTAATGTGATTTTACTCCTTGAAGCTGTAGTATAAAGATGCTCTTTATTGTACTGTCTGATGAAGGTCTGTGAAATGCAGCTTCTTTAATCAGATAATGTGATGGCAGTGTGTGGGAGTCCACTGCTTTTTCATTATATTACATCTCCTACGCACCTGCCTTATGGGTTTGAATTAGATTATATACTATTTTGGTTAAAACACCATA